AATTGTGAGGCATTTTACAGATCCCAGTGCCTGAGAAAATGAAAGGGCTATCCAAACCTTTGCTTCTAATAGGAAGGGATAGAGTGAAGAAGGGAATTTCTTGCATTCTTCTTGTATTAATCTCATGAGAACCTAGTTTTGAAATCAAGGTACCACCTTTATACTACCAACTTGTTGAGAAAGAACCCCAATAGTCAGCAAATACCCTGGGAGGAGGAAGCACACCCTGGAAAGTTAAGGCGAACTCTTCCATAGCTGCACTCCCAAGACAAAAATCAAATGGAAATAAAAAACTGTTCCTTTATAAGTGGAAATAATTCATGCCCTTTATAAACTGTTTGTAAAAATGCAAAAAGTCTTGAGGAAAGAAGTAAGACAAATATTATCCCTATGTCAGTGACTGGTGCTGTCTACAATTGACATTTTTATGCCATAATAAAATTGAATAACCGGTATTATCATAAGCGATACTTCAGATGGGGCCACAAGAAAGAGGTTGCTCAGGGGCTGGGGATTTAGCTCAGCGGTAAAGTACCTGCCTGGCAAGTGCAAGGTTGTGAGTTTGGTTCCCGGTACCGGAGAAAAACCAAAAAAAAAAAAAAAAAGAAAGAGGTTGCTCAGTTTGCATAGGGGAAAGAGGGGTGAGTGTAAATATTTTGTCAAAATCACCCACTGAGGGGGAGACGAAGCCTAAATAAAAATGCCCAGCTCTGGGACACCAGAGGGATGGATGTTGTTTATTCTCTGCCTTCTTCCGCACAACTCAGCTGACAGGGCAAATGAGGAGATGGTTTGTGTCAGAACAGGTGCATTATCAGACTGTGGGCCTCTCGCTCCATAAACTGCAGTCAGGGAGAGAAGAGAGTAACGGGGAGACCTCCTGTGCCTACGGTCGTGGTACCTGTTAGCTTCACGAGGTTTAAAGAGAACTGCCCTGTAATCAGAGAAAGCAGACTGACTGCTTTGCTCTGAAGTCGAGTTGAGCAAATCCATTAGTGAAAACTTGTTTCTTGTCCTTGGTCCCCTTCAGAAAGAAAAGTTTCTTAGAGGCTAAGGTGGTGACAGCCGACATTTGGGAAACTCAAGCCCACCTCTGGGTGAAATGGTTATGGTGCTACGCAGTGAGTGCATAGGTATTGCCAGTAATCCCTGCATTAGTGCTTTTCCTCTTCCTAAAATAAGCAACAGTGTAGTCAAAATGCACCAGAAGAGCCGTAAGTTCACATTGCAAGGTAGGAACCCAGACATGCTCCATTAACCAGCATCCAAACAATTGCTCTGTGGCTGAAGCTCGTCTTCCTTAAGGAAAACATTAGCACAGCAACTGACGTCTTTGCATAGACCTTAAGACCTTCTGCAAAATATTGGCAATAAAAATCCCCTCCGGTCCCGGTCATTCTGTTCTGGTCCAGCCAATTTGCATGGGGATGTCAGCCTCTGATTTTAAGCTACTACTGTACCCCAAGATCACTTACTTATGGTGTAGGTCTGAAATGGCCTCCCAAACCTGATGCGTTTAGCAGGGGATTGGGTTAGGGGGCCATCATAGCTGACTTGCGGTTAGGAGGGGAGGTCTCTCCTTAGGAAAGGCAGATCCCTGAGGGCATGGCCTGAAGGGTGTATCTCACTTCCTGGCTCCTCCCCTCACTCTCTGCTCTTGCCCAATCTGAGGTGGGCAGCTTTGGTCTGCTGGCCCCTTCCACCACACCACTTCTTTGTGTAGCTGGCTGACTATGCGAGGACGGAAACTCCTAAAATGTGAGCCACAAGAAGCGTCTCCTGCTTTAAGTTGTAGATGTCAGGCATTGTGTCTCAAAGAGGAGGACACTGACTAAGATGCTTGGAAATCACTAAGCCACTGATATTAGGTGATTTAGTAGACTCTAGCCTTTATCATGTTAGCACTTATTGTATGGCAGCTTGTCCTTCCTCTTGTCTGAGTTTCAGTTCTGTCCTAACAGCTGCTGTACTTGCCCTGTGACTGTGGTTAAGCTGCTCAACCACGCTGTGCCTCAGTTTCCACAGCTACAAAAGGAGATAATGCATTCACTTCACAGAATGATTATGAAGGTTAAATTTCACATTTGATTTTCTCTTCCCAGTGCCTAATACCGCACCTGGCTCACAGTCACAAAATAATTAGTTGTGAATTATTTTACTTAGTGTAAATTTCTGCAAATTTCCCTGGGAGACTGAGCTGAAAGATTTCTCTATCAGAGTTTTAAGAGAAGCAGTTTTCTTGAATGCTTTTCTGTTAATCAGACCGAGGTGGAGATAGTGTCTGTAAAGAAAAGTTGAAACCAGAGAACTGTTAAATCTTTAATGACAACACCTGAGGAATGTTAGGATGTCTCCAGTTTCACATTTGGATGCGCTCTTGGAATCGCCATCTGTGTCCCCTCTGAGATGGCTACAAGTGGATTTGAATCTCTCCCTGGAGTCGTGGACCAGGGCTCCTGCATGCTCCGTATTGTCTGGCTTAGCTGGCAGTGGTCTCTGTCCAGTGTCTTGAACACTGGGATCCTATACCCTTTCCTGGCTGTGCTGGTCTACTCTGAGGACATCGGTGCTGTCAGGTCTGTCAGTTAACTGGCAGGGGTTCACTTTGTATTTCAACCGGCCATAGCTCCTGCCGGGGAGGGCTGTCTGTCTCTCTCTCTCTCACAGGGTCCAACGGTGTCATGAAGAGGCACAGTGAACTGTCTGCTGATTGATAGGTCTAAAATTATGTTTGCTCCACAATTTTGAAAATGTCATTTCCGGAAGGGAAGGTGTTGAACAGCCTTCTCCAGAGACCTTTATAAATTGCGTAGGATTCTCACCTGACTGGGGTGAGGAAAGTGAGGTCTTGAGGGGCAGTGGAATAGCCTCCGGTTCCAAAATTGGAATTATTTGAACCTTAGTTTAAACGCACATTTGAAAATAATGTGTTGAAAGTATGACAGGACATTCTGTGGCAGGATATTCTGTTCAGACGGGTATGTGTGTTGTTGGGGGGCGGGAGCCAAAGATGCAGGTAACCGTAAAAAGGCTTTCCAGTTCCGAAACTAGAGGAGAAAGACAGAGGGCAGGGATGAGAGAAAGGGCTCACGGCCCAGGGCAAGACAGTCAGCACATTTTGACGGGCCTTAAGAATCCACTGAACCAGTCGGAGAGTAGGAGTACTTTCTATCGCGTCACAATACCAAAATTTTGGGCACTGAAGACACGGTGCATTTCTTATTGTCTTAGTACATTTTGTATTGAATACATCAGACTGGGTAATTGCTAAGGAGCAGAAATTGGTTCTCTCACTGTTCTGGAGGCTGGACAGTCCAAGGTCAAGGTACTGGCATGAAATGGGCCTTCTATGCCCTTACATGGTGGAAGGTGGAAGAGAGCCTTCCACTCCTGCAGGCTCTTCCTGGAGTGGCCTTAGTCCATTTGTGAGTGAAGCCCGGGGACTAAACATCTCCCAAGGCCCCACTGCCCAACACCGCTGCACTGAGGATTAAGTTGCCAATGCGTAGACTTTGGGGGATGTTCAGACCATTGCATTTACCTTACAATTATCTAGCTCAGAAGTCCAGGGAGGCTCATGCCCTAAAATTAGCCTCTCCATTTGGCTATTTCTCTGGCACCTGAGATTTTAAACACTCCAGCTTTGCGCCCAAACCTGCTTCTCCTTTTGTCCTCCCACCTCAGTAAACACCAGTTCTACTCTGGCCACCCCTCAGGTTCAGCACTTTGGAGGCATCCTCGGTTCCTTTCTTTTTATACGCCCTACTTAGCAAATGCAACCGGCTCTACCTTCAAAACGACACCCACGATCTGATTATTTCATACCGCCTCTCCCCTGGGTCACTGTTGCAGTGTTTATGACTGTTTGCTTCGTCTTCCTCTCATGTCCCTCTTCTCTCTGTCCACACCACGCAGGCAGGGAGATCTTGCTGAAACCCGTGTAGACCTGCCACTCCTCCGCTCTCCACAGTCAGCTTTCCCATCTCATTCAGAGTAAAAGCCAAAGATGTCATGAAGGCCCGGGAGGGCGGCCCCACCTCAGTCTTCGCGAAGGGCCACTTGGTTACCACTCGTCAGCCTTCTGCCTGCCACAGCTAGGGATCATTTTGAAGGCAGATACCATGTCAATTAGACACCGGTTCTTCTGGGTTCTTTTGCCCATCCGGCTATCTCTCATCCCTGCTGTGATAGTCACAGGCCTGAACTGACACCTTTTCCTGCCTCCCTCAGAAAGTTGATAGAAATAGATTTCTCTGCAGGGCTCCGAGCCCAGAGTCATTTTCTGGTTCTGCTGTGCTTGTATCCGGTCAGCCCAGTAACTGCCGAGGCAGCTGCAAATCCGGTGTTGAGATGTGAGGAGGGGCAGATGTTCTCTGGAGAAAGAATGGGTGGGGTGGTTCCTATGTTAGCCACAGCGGGCTTCCCACACCCTCTGCTGCTCACCGTGCTCTGTGGCCTACCTTCCCCCTCTCTGACTCCCCTGGCCCCTTTGTGCACCCCTCCTTGGCTGCGCCTTACCATCCAGTTCACGCCATTCCCCTGAGGAGACCCTGAGTTGCCCTGGCTCCTGCCCCTGTGCTGCAGGACTCGGTTACATTCCTGGGGATTTTGTGTGGTAGCCAGGACTCTTTGAGAACCAGCGCTCCTGTTGAATTCAGCAGCCGGTAGGAAGGTGAGAAAGTCTTTCCTCAGAGGGCAGCAGGGTGGGGACAGCGTTATCATGCCTTTTCTCATGCTGTTCTTGGTATTTAGATGGCACAGTGCAGTTAAAAAACAAAACAAAACAAAACTGGACTGACACCTTTAAGAAAGCGATGAATGTATCAGTGGATAAATCAGTCACATACAAATAAGGCCCAGATTATACACATCTTACTATTGCTGGAATTTAATATCAGCACAACCAAGGAAACAGAATGGTGCTGAGTTGGCCAAGGTGCATTTTAGGACCCCTGAGGTGGCAGTGGGTTGATGTGTTGTGTCCTGCTTTTGTCTGATAGGTCATTGCTTGTGAGCAGCAGTATGACTCTTCCTATGACGCTCGCTGTGACGTCTGGTCCTTGGGGATCACAGCTATTGAACTGGGGGATGGAGACCCTCCCCTCTTTGACATGCATCCTGTGAAAACGCTCTTCAAGATTCCAAGGTAGGACACAAGATGGCGCCCTTGATTCACTGGTGCTTTGAGAAAGCGTCCTTTGAGGGACAATAAATAGTTTCTATGTAATTTCTCTCTAAACCTGAACAAGAGTGATTGCAAAAATTTATTTCCTTTTGGAAAAAAAAGGGGGGAGTGGGCGCAGGGAAGGATGTTCCTGAAAGATAATATTCCAAGGAATAACGGAACCGTGTAACAGTTACATAATTTCAGCACTCCAATTTTCCCGAGCTGTTCATTTTGTGATGCTTTGCACAAGAAAAATACAAATGCAATTTAGGATTAAGTGATCTGTGTAAACACTGGTGCTTGTTTTTAATTATATACTTTCACTGGTATTTGGGAAATTTGGGGGAACAGAAATGCTGATCATATTGCTGTTTTCACTCTGACCAGCACTGAAATATATCGCAGAAATGTTACATCAGTCGTTTGTCTTGCTCTTCGTCCTTAATTTCCCACTCAATGGAAAATCATGATGAAAGAGGTCTGTCTGAAGGGTGTTTAAATGCAAGTATGTTTTCTATCCCGTGTATTCATTAGGGGTTTGTCTTAGAGGTTTTGTTTATTTTCGTGGGGATGGGCCGTTGTCTGACCACCTTGAGGCTCTAGTTAGGGAAAATGAAGCTTTCTGGGTCCATCAGTCCAGTGAGGGTGCTGATTGATAGATTATTTATACTTTCCAAATTTCTCTTTCAAAGAAAGGCTCTGGGCAGGCTGGGAACCATTTAACTGCTCTAACAATACAAGTATTGACCTTTCCTTATCTGCACAATCACACAGCTATCACAGCCTTTAAAAATTTCTCCTGATTGCAATTTGCATTTCTGATTAGGTCTATTTATATGCAGATGAGGCGCTGTGGCGTTCATCATCATAATGTTATCGTTTTATACCTAATCCAGATGTGAACAACCCCCAGCCACTGTTCCAAAAATGATTGCCACCCAAGGCTGGGTTAGTCTTTTTGCCCCTTTCAAAATACAAAAACAGGTCTTGGCGATTTGAGGAGCAGATGAAGCTCCTGGCTTTTAAAATTAATAGTTTGGTGAGCATTCAAAAGCATATAAGCACACAGAAGACAAAAGCAGCATTGTGTACAGTAACATGCAATGTGTAAGGAAATGAGAAATGGAATCTGGAATGACCGAGTGTGTGTGGTTTGATTTCCAGGCAACACAGCAGTCCACAGTTCAGGGTTAAAATGTGGTTTCTGATTAGCAAGATATATTAAAGTATATGTATATATAATTTTAATAGGAGACCAGCTGTGTGGGTATATTTATGTTTTGTTCTTAGTATGCATTTCTGTACAGACCAATTATTTTAAAATTTCATAAGGTGATAAATATGTGGCAGGTAAGAAGGAATGTGCACAAGTGTGTGTTTATTTTTTTTAAGCACGCATTTAAATAGACCCTTCAGTTCCAGTGACTCCTCCCAGCTTGCTTGTGTGCCCAGCCGAGCCTCTGATCTCTATCTCTGTTCTCTCCTTTGGCTCACCTCTTCTGTCTTGGGAGAAACCTTCAGATCCGGACACAAATAACTAAGCCCCTGCTGCCTGCTTCAGGGCGAGTGAGACCCAGGGACTGGGCAATTGCAGTACAAGGATCTTTAAACCCACTTAGGCTGAGGCTGTTTCCCTCCTGTGAACCTCTTGTCCTGTTACTTCTCTGTCCCTGTGCAAATGATGATTAGATGGAAAGTGGGGCTGTCAGCAGTAATGGGTCCGCAGATTCTCAGGATTGTGTGTGCTTAACATTTGCTACTGTCACAACCCTATTGGGCTGGCCTGATGTTCAGGGACAGGAAGGAGAACGTTTTTGTTTTTGTTTTTTCACGTATCTGCATGTCCTATATAACTTTTTTTTTCTTCCTTAAAACTAGAGGTAGATGTGTTGGGTTTCTGTTCTCTTAGTTATTTGCTTAAAAATTATCCTGTCAATTTGAATAGCAGTTTGGGTTGTCCAAGTGCATGTGTACACAAACACGTGTGATTAGGTGTGCATGTGTGAGTGAGTGTGTATACTATTTTAATTTTGAGAGCTGAAAACTTAATGCTTTTCTCAGACCAGCTCTTGATGGAGAATGGATAAACTAAGCATTTGCACATTTTAAAAAGCCACTCACTTACTTCTGTGTTTCCTGGGGATCTCTCTCTCTCTCTGTTCTTATCCCTCTCCCTTTCTCTTTTCCTACTAGAGAAAAGCAAATGACAGTGACAAAAATCTTCTGAGTCGCTTGGCTTCAGAATTATGTCTTTCTATTTGAATGTATTTTTAGTATTTTAGAATTCTTTTCGATTAAACAGTGAAGTCCCTTTCAGGACACTCAAGGAGCCAGAATACTGTGGCTTCCTCCTCTGAATTTTCTCACTGGCTGCTTCCCTGGAACCCTTTGCTTAGTGGAAATACACTGACCACCAAGTATGGGAAGAAAAGAAAATCTTGACAGAGTCAGGGAAGAAGTGGCTTTCACAAGTTATCGAGGACTTGAGAGTTAATGAAGTGCTGGCCACCTGTGAGGCAAGGGCTTCAGATGTCAACAAAAGTGGCAATAACACAGGTTCCCTGGACACTGCAAGAAGATAAGAGCAGGAGCTGCCTGGCTGTGGCTGCTCTGCCTGCAGGCTCCTCACTCTCCGCTCTCTGTCCCTGCCCGCCTTCTCCTATCTCTTGACCTTCACATTGGAAGATGACATGCAGAGCACTCGTGACCTGTCTTTGAAATACTGTGGGACTTGAAATCTTCCCTGTACTGCAAACACACAGAAATTATCTGCTGATTGGCAGAGCGTTTGCTATTTGCTGAATCTGACAGCATGTGTCATCTTGTCTAACGCCTCTGCTCCAAGAAAGTCACCTTTTGTGGCTGCGGCGGCACTGTCTGCTGCTATTTTTCTCCAATATTTAGAAGAGAGGAAGAGAGTGAAAACCATTTCTCTAAATATCAGTACATTCAACCCTTTCATGACCCTTTCCTAAGGACTCTGCCAATGACAAATTTCAGAGGCTAAGCAGGATCTTGCAAATAACCCGTGCAAATTTTTTCCCTTAAAAGAAGATCTGTTTCATAGATATAACTGCAAGAACCAGTAGAGTTAAGAGAAACATACAATTATGTTGGTCTCTTGACAACTAGGTATCTTTCTTTCACTTAGAATCTTTGACCAATTCTCCTTCAGCCTCCACAGAGGGGCTCAGGAAGGGATGGGACCCTTGGGAGTGTTTACAGGACTAGTGCTGAGAACCACAGAGCCTGCTTTTTCATCCAGGGCAAGTACCAGCTGACTTTGCCCAGAAAGCAAAGCCGAATGCTTCCTCTTTGTTTCTTGTGGAAAAATGCAGACTATTTTCAAAATCCCCAGCAGAAACGTTTCTGCCTGAGGCAGCTGAGTCCAACTGGCCTGAATATTCCAGTCCCAAAGCCTGTGATTACCCCTTCCTAAGGAAACTTTCCCTGCAGCATTATTCAATTTAAGAAAAGAAGAACATGTGATAATCCCTCCTTCATATTTCAGCTTGTTTCCTTTACTAAATCTAGGTTGTTCCAGAGTTGTCTGTCCTTAACCGTGTGAGCTTCCTAGGGCTGCTACAACAGATGATGATACAAACTGTGTGGCTTACCTCAACAGACATTTATTCTCTTGCAGTTCTTTTTTTTTTTTTTTTTTTTTTTGTCTTTTTGAGGCAGGGTCTTACTATGCAATTCAGGCTGACCTTGAGCTCACTTTGTAGCCCAGGCTGATCTTGAACTTGCAAAGATCCTCCTGTCTCAGCCTCCCAAGTGCTGGGATTACAGGCATGTATCACCACGCCCTGCCTTTCTCTTGCAGTTCTGAAGGCCGGAATCCAAAGTGCATGGCTCTGCAGGGCTATTCTCCCCTTTAAGCCTCTGGGGGAGCATCCTTCCTTGACCTGGACAGTTTCTGGTGGTCCTTGGTGTTCCTGGGCTGGTGGCAGCATGACTTCAGTCTCTGGATCCATCATTATGGCCCTCTTGCCTGTGTCTCTGGGCCTTTTGTCCTGTCTCTTTTAAGAACATTGGATTTAGGGGCCATGCTAATCCAGGATGAATTCACCTCCAGGGTCTTGCCTTGAATAATTGTACCAGCAAAGACCCTTATTCCTCCTGAAGTCACATTCTCAGGTTCTGGATAGAGGTGTCTTTCAGGAGCCGCAACTCAAGTCACTCCACCAAACTGATTTTCATGTCTATCAGATTCCCCAAGAAACTAATTGGAGGGCAAAATACAAGACAACTAGCTCAACAGTAAAGGGGAAAATAATAATAGCTAAGATCTTTCAGGTGTTAGCTATGTGGCAGGCACGGTGCCCTGTGTTTCACTAATGTGTGCATTTGGTCCCCGTAGTGACTGCAGGAACTACGTAGGTGACATCATCAGCCCTCTTTCCAGATGAGAGACCCAGAAGCCTGCTGAGACTCAGCAGCCCGCGCCCGGGGCTGCCCTTGCAGAGGAAGAACGATTTGAATCTGAGACATTTGACCCCAGAGCCCACAAGTTTTGCTACTACATTGTAAAGTGAATGGCCTTTCTTAAATTGTATTTAATAGTTGGTGAATTATGTGCTGAGCACCAAAGGGATGGACTATACAAAAATGAGTAGGACATAGTCTGACCTTTTAGAAGCTCTCACTCCAGTATACTTCCTGGCTCCTAATTTTAAACTGACATTGTCAACTTGAAAATTAGAGTTTTTATTAGCATCGGTGTTCTGTCAGTTAAGGAAATAATGAATAGAAATCAAATGTCACTATCGGTGACCGTGGGATGTCCTTCATTCATTGATTCACGACCCCAAACATAGAACTTCTTCCCTTCACCAAGCTGCCCTTCAAGCAGCTGTCTTTTATTCTCTGTTTTGGAACATTTAGGATGAGTGTTTGCTCTGAAGATTTGCAGTGTGCTGTGTAAAAGCTGTGGGGTACTCTGGGACAGCATTTGGGTGCCCACACTGCTCTCTTTG